CAATAACGACCCAGTCATTGTTAGGGGAATCATCAAACGAATTGATCCATGAAAAATGCAAGGAAGATTTTGATCAAGCTCCTCCAGAAATAACAGTTTTTTCTGATTATATAATACAACCAGAAGACATACAATTGCAAATATTGGTTAAACTAGTAAAAGAAAAATTTTTCCGAATCCAATCTAATATATATCGACTTGAAATATTTTATTATTTGAGAGAATTATTAGCCTCAAGAGGATAGATCTCTAAAGACAAGAATTTGCTTCTCAAAAAATTTTCTATCTGAATATATAAAGAGATTAAGAAAATCATATGATGAGTTTATGACTTGTTTATAGCAAGAGGAGTTTCGAGTTTATATCTTGTAAAATATGGGTAGTATTCTATTAAAATTGAGGTACAGATCATATGATTTATTATGTCTCGTAACCCACTTTTAATAGATTAGCTCCTATATATCCCTTTTCTTTTATTTGTAACGAATAATGAAAGTGTATATTAAATTACGTATCTGATCATATAAAGTGCCGAAGATTGAGGCAATACCTTATTTACATAGATTTATATTAGATTTCATTTGTTATTAATAAAGATACTTAAATAAATAAACCTTCTGCTTACCTTTCTATTGTTTATAACTATAAACGTTTTGAACTGCATGCAATAATAGCAAAATCTCTTAAAAATCACTATTATTACAAAATTGATGTAACAATATTTTTGACAAGACGAATTTAATAGCAAAATTTTAGATATTTTATAGTTTCATTATTTTTAAAATAATTTAATATTTGTAAAAATAATTATTATAATAAAATGTTATATATATAAAATTAAAATATCGCCTTATTAATTGATTAGACTCAATATTGTTTTTAGTGCAATTTTTTATTAGCTAAGTATGTATATTGTAGCATAACTATTTTTTAATTATCAATTACTCCAATTACTCAAAATCAATTTACTAGTCTCATAACCCATTTTTAATACTTTTAAATAATCATTTATATTTTTCAAATTGGTCAGTATAAAATCAATAAGTTTTGTTGCATTAAATGTTTTTCAAATAAATATAACAATGTATAACTAAAGTTTTTACAAGATCAAATTCACCTAATGTTAATATTTGTTACTGAAAGTTAAATGGATTTTACACATTATAACTAATTGCAAATCTCATCAAATATTGTGAATTAAGTAGTTTTAAGCAACACAGAATTAATACTATATGAATACTAAATAAATTTAATATAAATAGCAGGATTGATATGGCATTTCTTGTATTAAATAAAAAGTTGTCATATATCAATAGATGTTACACTTGAAATATTTTCATGTAAATCATGATAATCATTTATATTAAGAATTAAAGTTGGTTTCATTAAAAAAATTAAATTTATTATAAAGATTCATAATTTACAAAATATATTTAAATTTTTTAATATTAACAACATATGGGAGCTGATCTATTAAAAGTAGGTTACGAGACATAGTAAATCATATGATCCGTACCTCAATTTTAATAGAATACTACCCATATTCTTAAACTGTATAATAATGTATATATATAATTTTTTTTTGTCATTGTATATGGTTTGATATATTATACTTATACTCATATTTGAAAGGATATTAATACTAATAATTAATATATATGTATCAGTCATATATAATTCAATAATAGTGTTAGTTTCACTAACTTGTTTATTTTATAATGCTATCATTTAATAAAAAGTAACATAATTTTTTGTTTTAAACATTCCTATTTTTATTTTAGGAATCATTGCATTATATAAAATATCAAAAAAGTTTTTGAATTTGGATTACAATTTTCTATTAATTTTATAAAATCTGCAACACTTAGTTTTGACAAATTTTAATAAAGAACTCTTATCATTCATATTATTTGATCATTAAATTACTCAGAAAATTATCTACATTTTATTATTTTAATAAATTAATTAGTTAATTATAAACATATTAAATATATTAATGAATAATTTAGCATAATAATCAAATCATATTATTATTTTGCTCAAAGTCATCAATGTAGTCATTTACTACTTTATTTCTTTTTTCATTATATGTTAAATCTATTTCACATATATGATTTCTACTTAAACTTTGAAGTATTTCTATTAAATACAACCAATTTATTATATAATAACTAGGGTTGCTTAGCTAAATTATTTTAGAAAATACAAAATGGTAAAATCTTAATTAATGCAATTTGAACTATTGTAAAATTTCAAAACTATTGCAGAATATTAAAATTATTATGAAATATTAAATTTATTGTGAAATGTTAAAATCATTACAAAATATTAAAATTATTGAAAACATTAAAATTTTTGCAAAATATTAGAACTATTATAAAAATTAAAATATTTGGTAAACATTAAAATTATTGCAAAATGTTAAAACTATTACAAAATTTTAAAACTATTATTAAATGTTTAAACTATTACAAAATATTAAATTAAAATTATTTTATTACATTAAATAAGATACATTTCTAGCATTTATTTGTTTAATAATTTATTTTATATAAAATAACATATATAAATATATATTGTTACCAGCTAAAAATTCACTATTGAAAAGTTGATCTATAAAGAATTATTAAATGATCTACAGAAGTTACTAGAATTAATTTTATGTTAATCACAAATTAGAAGATCTGCATAATTCTGGATTTTGATGATTCTTAGAATCCACAGGATTCTGGGAATTCGTAGGATTTTTAGGATTTACTGGATTCTTCAGATTATCATGATTCATGAGATTTTTCTAATTTCCTATATTTCCATTATTTTAATTATTATGTTATTCTTCTTATTTTATTATACTTATTATTATCTTTATAATTATTATTCTTCTTATAATTATTATATTAATACTTAATAATATGAATTTTTTTTTTAAAAAAATAATTATAAAATATTCAAATATAATTATTATTAAAGAAAAAAAAGGCAAAAATATTGAAGATATCATAAATGATAATAATGTAAAGATAGAAGAATTAGAAATAAGTCAGAATGTAATCTTAATTTTTATAAATACTCTTAAATAAGTTAATGCTTGATAATTATATGCTTAAATTACTATTATAAATATAATAAAAATTACATCTTATGTAATTTTCTAGGCATTTGGAAATTAACAAAGAGTCTAGCTTTAAAATTTATAAAATGATATATATAAAAAATTCTGAAAATAGCATAATCAAAATGTATATTAAAGATAAAGTATAATTATGAATTTAAGCAATGAGAATTTAATTAATAAAAAAATTTATTATAATTATATTTATTAGCATACAAGTATATTTAGTAATTATTTTGTTATTGATAAAAATAAGTAAATTCTTATTATTAAAATTTTTATTATCAATAAATTTTAAAGCTACCTTATTTATAAAAAATTTGATAATATAAAATAATAAATATAAAAATAATTTTTGGCATATTTGCCATTTTTCATGTATTTTATATATCATATAACTATCAGATTTGGCTGATTTAGCAGATTATATAGCAAAGTAAAAATTATATAATCTATTGTATTATGTGACTTTAAAAGGAATTTTACTTATTAATTAAAGTTAATTTTATTATCAAACAAATAATATTTTTATAATAAAATTTATAATATTTTTTTAAGTAAAATCAAAAAAAAAAATTATATTAATTAGTAACTTTTGCATTAATTTGATATCAAAGTTTTGAATATTTTTTAATAAAAATTTTTCTTTTATAAAAGCTAAAATTATTAATTTTTATATTAATTAAAAAAATATAATAAATATAAAATTTTATATTTAAAACATTTATTTATATATTTAAATAGAAAACAAACTAGTCATCATCTCATCTGATCATGTTATTTTATATAAAATCATGCAATTTAATTATTAAAGATTAAACTACTAAACTTGAACTATGTAATAAATAATAATATATAATTTTTTCTTATAAAATATTATTTAATATTTTTTTTTTTTCTTCTTATTATAAATTTTAACATCTTTAACCATTGCATATTTATTTCTTTCATTACATATCTGTAACTATAATAAGTAAAATAAAAGTTTTAATAATGCATATAATTCCAATTGTAGATTATCAATCTTTTTTGAAAATAAATTTTTATGCGAAATTTCGATAATTTATTATTCCTTTGTGTTTAAAAAATTACATTATCATATAGTTAAACCATAAAAATTTTTTTGACGGAAGATCCGCACTGTTTTTTTTTTTTACTACGTGAATTGCCACTAAATAAGAATACTTTATTCTTATTGTTTTTAACCTGAAATCTTTTTGTTTTAATCACATTCCATATACTAAGATTGTAAAGATTGTTCAACATCCTGTAATGATTTGCCAATCATGCATGCATTTATATGCAAATGCACGAGTCTAGACACTGGTCCCCAAGGGTGCATTTGGTGATGATAACTCTTTGACATCCGAAGCTTTAATCAAAATAACAACACGCCTTTTCCAACAGGTAAAAACCCTTATATTGAGAGAGCAATAGACAAATATCACTTTGTTGCTCGGAACCCTCTGTCAAATTTATTTTCCCCACTTCATTCAATTATAGCTGTGAAAACAGCGGGATTATTGCTTCAAGGATGAAATTCAAGCAGCTTAAAATTCTTTGATAGCTTTCAGACATTGAAATAAAAAATTTGACGTGTATTGCGAAACTTAATATTTCAGTATGATTTTTGGTGTATTGCGTTGTTTGATTTTTGTATTTTTGTTACGAAAAATGGTGAGTCACGTGAATTTCATATAAATTAAATCTTCTAGTTAATAATAGTATCATTTGCCGCCGCTTATGCTCTTCCCTTTTTTATTATTTTTCAATAAATTATATTTGGTTATTTAGCCATCGTTGGTTGCACGAACTTAAAGATCGTATAAATAGGTTTTAGTCTAAAGTTGTCTCAAGTTGGCACTATAAATTAGTTTCTCGACGAAATATGGAACAAACTATTATATCAAATACATCTAGTGGAGCTAGTAATGTAGCTGGGGAAAGGCGACCTGAAATATTTGCAAATAACTTTTGGGTAAGACAGATAAATAGACAGACAAATATTTATACGTACGAATGTGCATTTTTCTGGGATTATTTTGTCTCGGAGTGAACACACTCTTGTCACTATAAAAAAAAAGAATAATTTTATTTTATATTATGTAAATAATAGGGAAAAGAAGAAGCAGGATATGATGCACTTATGTCTAGACTTAGGCAGGCTAAACAAACTTGCGATGAAGTGAAAAATATGTTTCAAGAGAGGTAACATTTTTGAATTGAATAATGCGATTTGGTTTTCGAATTGAATTGATTTTAATCTATATGATTTATTAGAGCGTTGATAGAAGAAGATTATGCGAAAAAATTAATGAAACTATCCAAGTCACCAATTGGAAAAGATGAAACTGGGTATTTGAATCTTTTAATTTTTATTTTATTTTTATTTTGCTTTTGAAAGATTTAATTCTCATACAAACGAAATCAATATTCATTATTCATTAAAGAGCACTACGAGATGCATTAGAAGTGTGTAAACAAGAGATGGAGGCAACAGCACAAGAGCATATCACATTGTCGCAGAAGTTCCGAACAGAACTTGTACAAGAAATTTCACATTTTATATTGAGGCAAAAAGAATCAAGGAAGTTGGTAAGATATCTTTTTTTTTTTAGGACGATGTTCTTTGGGAAAAGTTTTTTTTTTTTTTGTGTATATGAATTAAATATATTTGTAATATAGCAACAAGCCATTGTAGACAGAAGCTTGAGGAATAAGAAAGAACAATCGGCATTAGTTCAAAGGGTAAACAAAATATGTTTCTAAATAATTGAGTAACGTTAATATATGTGTATAATATGATAATTTTGAATTTTTATTTTAGGCTAAAGAAAAGTATGAAGCAGAATGTGTGAAAATTACAGGATTATTGGCCACTAAAGGTTCAGTGATGGGAAAAGATTTGGAAAAGGTACGATGAAATGACGCGTTCTTAATTTTATTTTCCTAATATATTTCAAAAATGTTAACGTCTTTGGGATCTGATATAGTTAAATTTGAGGATAGAAAAAACACAAATGGCAGCAAAAGCAGCAGATCAAGAATATATTCAATTAGTTAAAAATATACAAGGAACAACAAAAACATGGAATTATGATTGGAAAACTGCATGCAATAAATTCCAAGATTTGGAAGAAGATCGAATTGATAAATTAAAAAGTTTTTTATGGACTTATGCAAATCTTATTTCAACCGTATGTGTAGCAGATGATGAAGTAAGTTTGACATTGTGTATAAACTTAATCAGGACTTAATCAGTGAATATTATTAATATTTTGCTCTGCCCTTTTCCTTCCGCGATATAGTCATGTGAGAGAATCAGAATTTCATTGGAAAATTGTAATGTTGAAAAAGATATATTAATATTTATCAAAGAGAGGGCAACTGGACCTGATATACCTGGTAAATTTATCTTTTAATTAATATCATTTATTTTTTTATAGATTTCTTTAACTAACTTCCTTTCCTTTTCTAATTTTGTAGAACCACCTAGTTATGTTAACTTTTACGCGGGTCCAAAAGAAAATGGAGTAAGATATAAGCGAGCTTCATTTGAAAGGGTACCGACATATGTAGATACATTAACGTCACCCACAACGCAATTAGATCCAAATAAAAGACTCTCATTAAACGAATTAACAAACACAAATAATAATAATTCTAATGATAATTGTATATATCATACAAGAAATGTTTCAGAGGGGTATACAAATGTGAATATAGAAAGAGCAACTCTATATGCAAATACAACATTATCCCAAAAAAACAATAATAATGGAGGAATAGTAAGTGAGGTAGAAAGAAGAACTGAGAAAAACGAGGTGGAAGAAGAACCAGTTGATCCTAGATCTAAACAAATGTTATCAATTGGAGATAATGTATTTGAGGTACAAACCAATAGTGAACAATTAAAAAATAAAGATGAAAAAGATGAAATAGCAAAAGCGTTGGCAAATTTCGAATTATCTGATGAATTTAACAATAAAAATAACGATAGTGATGATAGTAACGATAATAAAGATAATTACGATAATAACCGCAATAACAATAGTAATAATAATCAAAATTTAGTTGAACCCCGAATTAATACTTTTACTATTTCGAATAATGGTAATGGGGAAGGATTTGTTAGAAAACCTTTACCAAATAATTTTACTATCGATAAACCTCAACCACCAACTCCTTCTGTCCAAGATAATATTCAACAACAAAATACGCATAATGTATATCATCAACGTAATAACTCTCAATTACAATTTACGCCCCACCAAATAAGTAGTAATAATAATACATCAACCTCCGCTATTCCGCTATCTAATATTCCTATTTCTCCTACCGCTATCGGTGTTACTAACAATAATAATAATAATAATAATAATAACAATAACAATAATAATAATACACCATCTTCAATTACTCCATCAACTACTCCTCAACAACCACCACCACCACAACAATATATGATAAATGGACCGGGAGATTTAAGAAGACAACCATCAGATTACAATAGCGCCGCTAACAATGGACCATTATCTTCTCAACAACAACAGATTTCACAAAATATGAGTATGAATTCCAAATCACCTAATCGAAACTATCAGCAACAATCAGAAGGTCCTGGTGATGTTAGAAGATTGTCAAATTCTCCTAATATGTTTTCTTCACCACCAATTTTATCTCAAGTTCAATATCAATCTCAACATGGTGGATATCAACAACAAGTACAAGGACAAATGACCCCTCAGGGTCTAGTTCTTACTCAAGGAAAGATTTCTCCTAGACAAATTACATCATCCCCAAGTCATATTACTTCTAACAACAACAACAACAACAATAATAATTTAAACAATCTAGACAGATCAGATACTCAACGAACTACTTCTTCTAATACTAGCAATACTACTAGTAATAATTCTTTGGGCATACAATTAGATGTAAATGGTCGCGTAAAGCAGGATGATTTGGCCGAAGCTTTTATTGCTAATGGTGGTAGATTGCCTCCCGAGTCCGCTAGATTCAAAATAAGACCGCAGGGAATACCTCAAGGAGTTCAGATGAGTCCACAGGGACAACCTATTTATCAATATAATAGTTTTAATAGACCACCATTACAACAAATGTCTGCCAATCCATCTGTAATAACGTCTCCGTCTTCATATAATGGTCAACATCAACAGCTACAACAACAACAACAACTACATCCTCAAGTACACAGAAGTAACACGTTGAATTCAGGTTCTAATAATGGTTTCCCTTATAAACAACCACAACAAGGAATTAATGTTAATTCACAATTTCCTCAGGGTAGTTTAGGTAGACCACAGGGTAGTATAGTTAGACCACAAGGTAGTATAGGTAGACCACAAAATAGAAGAAGCACCTTACCTGTTGGTATTCAACAGCCTCAATCACAACCACAGATACAACAACAGCAACTTTTACAACAACCTCTAGGAGCCCAACAATTGGGACATCCTCAAACTCATTATCAGAATCCAAATTTCTATAATCCTCCTCCTATAGGTGGATATCAAAGACCCCCTATTGGATCTGTTAAAAGTGTTCAAGGATTTCAACAAATGCAAGTGCCTCAACAACAAGTTATGCAACAGCAACAACCGCTTCAATTGCAATCTTATAATAGTTTAGCTGCATCTCAACAACAACAACAACAGCAACAGCAACAGCAACTCCCACAACAAATGAACCCCCAGGCAACACAAACGCTTCAATTACAATATCAAAGACAACCCTTACCAGGGTCTGATATACCTGATGTTAATGGCTCTCCAACTCATCGACAACGTACCGAAGATGGTAAACCGATTGAATTTTACGGTATGTATATATGGATATATTTTGCAATTTGATTTTATCTTTTCTTTAATTAATGAATAAATATTTTGTAGTTAAAGCATCATATGATTATCAAAAAAGTATACCCGAAGAAATGTCATTTACAGCTGGTGATGTTATAGCAGTATTAAGTACTCATAGTGATGGTTGGTGGGAAGGCGAAATAATAGATGATTCAAGAAAAAATAGAGGTTTATTCCCTAGTAATTATACTAAAGTATTAGAATAGATTCGAGAAAAAGATGCTATTTGCTTTTTATTTGTTTATATTAATTATTTTATAGAATAATTCATGTATTTTTTCTTTTCCCTTTTTTGCTTATTTTTTGTTGTAGTATTATTATCATTATAGTAAATTTAATAAAAAAATGTGTAAATATTTTTATGAATTTCTAAATTTCTAATTAAAATAAATTTAAATAAATTTATTATACAATATTTTGTCATTAGTACATATTCAACTACTTTCCTCTACTCTTTTCTGATCCTTTGATTTAGTCTTACCTCAACCTTCATCTTTTTATCAATTAGAACTTTCCTTGTTAATCTTTCCCAACCGAATCTCCTTATAATTAATTATGGAACAACTTCAATTCCAATACCACCAGCAGAAGCAACAATACATTTACAAATAAATTGTAAATCGTGATTTTTCATATTATTTTGTTTTTGTTTAATTTTGGCAATTTCATAAATATGTTTTAAACTAACTCTACCAACAATTTCATGTTTTGGTTTAGCTGCACCTTTTTCAATTCTAGCAGCCCTCTTTAATAACCAAGCAGTTGGTGGCATATTACACATAAACGTAAACTTACGATCAGGTTGAATTTGAATTATAGTTGGAATTGGTGTTTCTAATTCGTAATTTTTTGTTAATTCATTAAATTGTTTGCAAAAATCTATCGCTTTCACTCCTCTCTGTCCTAATGCTGGCCCTATTGGTGGTGTAGGTGTCGCTTTACCAGCTGGTACCAATATATTTATCTTTGATACTGTTCCCATTGCTTTTGGTATTGCTTTTGACATTTTTTTTTTAAAAAAAACTGATTAAGTTGTGAAAATGACGAATTGATGAATAAAGGAATTTTACAGAAGCTAGCGCATAAGTTGGAGAAAAAAAAAAGAAGTTAATAAAAGAAAAGATTTTTTTTTTTTTGCCGATAATCTTCATTGTCCGTCATATGAATAAAATGAATGAGTCACGTGCGGTGGAAATTGATCAAAATTTATTCAGATCTCAAAAAAAAAATATTTTTTATTTTATAATTATTTAATATGGACTTTTCACATTATAATGATGCCGAAAGAGAACATATTGGGAAGTTACTCGAACAGAAACAAGTTTGTATCGTCTTTCTTAAGTTTTTACCTTTGAATATTTGAATTTAATTATCGAACTTCTTTATCGAGAAAAACTTTTTGTTTTCAAACGATCACTAATGTGAATAACTTTTTTTAAATTTTTTTCCTTTAAATTGAAAATGATTTCCTTATCCAACATAAAAAATATAACAAATTTTTTCGAAAAGATGAGAGATTTTATGAAATTTTATTCAAATTTGGTTGATAGATGTTATAATGATTGTATTAATGATTTCACTTCAAAAACATTAACAACAAAAGAGGTAAGTTTATATCTATCTTTTACATCAGAAATAACACGAAATTTTCTTCTCTTTTTCCAATATAATTTCATTTTCGTTTACGTTTTTAGGAGACTTGTATTCAAAGATGCACCGACAAATTTTTAAAACATAATGAAAGGGTAGGACAGAGATTTGCGGAATATAATCAAGGTGTAGCAGCTCAAGCACAATCAGCTCAAACTGGTAGCGGAGGGTGGTTTGGTGGCGGCCGATAAATTCTAAAAAAATGAGTATTTTTTGTTGTGTAAAGGAGGGTATTTTAAATTTTCATCACATGATTTCAATTATAAAAATATTTAGGCTTAAATGTAATGAATTTTAAACTTGTTACCTAAAATTCACTGTTGGGTTCCTTGTATCATTAGTATTAAAAAACTACTTAAATTCGACACATTAATAAGATTATATTAATAAACATACGTTAAATAAATATTGTCTCACTTGAATAAACAATAATGGTTATTTTTTTAAAAATAAAAATTTACAAAGACTTGATTTTTTTGCTACTGATGATAAAAGATGGATGGTCAAGTTCCCTTTTCTTTTGATTGGGTTATTAGTCTGGAATGGTGAAAGGTTGACTTTGATTTAGTTTAATTTAGAGTAAATAGAAGTTTTTGTATTTTCTTTTCCAGTTTTATATTTTACTTACATTTTAATAAAGATTATAAGCTACCGTATTTAAAAATAAAAAAAAGATAAAGATGGAATTAAATTTGCATGTAAAGCAGGTTACTGGTTGAAGAATGTGACGGTTAAGCAGCATAGTAATTGTAGTTGATACATTAATTAAAAAATAAAAATCTAAAAATTTATATCGTTAATGAAACAAAAAACCAGAAATTTTTTTGAGATTTTTATTTCTCGTGTCCGTCGTAATTTAAGCATTTCCATTTCAAGCATATTATAATTGTTGAAATTTGACACCATTTTCGTAAGAAGTATTTAAAATACTTTGGACAAATTTCCTTGGACGAGAAATTGAATATTAGTAGAAATGATAATAATTTTTTTAATTAGGCGAAGCATCTAACATATAGATTTAAATCAACTATATTGCCGAAATGAGCAGATTTCAATTTTTTAAGGAACCCATCCCTCGTTTGTAATTATTAGCAATATCATTTCGTATGGTAAATACAATAATAAGGTGCACATGATTGGATTCGACGCGTGGAATGTCTCTTTCAAAATGTCATTATGATGTCATCAGATCGTTCTGACGCAATGTATACTCCTGATATAAATTCAGCCGTTGATTCCTAGAAAGATCCATATCATGTGCTCATGAATGACATCAAACATCGTCATAGGTATAGAAACTTATTCCGGGTATTCGGATTAAATCATACGGATTCATACAGGTACGGAATTCTAATAAATTATAATTTACCTAATTCTGAAAACAAAGAATTAATTCAAATTAGTAAATAGGTCAGTCATTCTTTACGCCTAATTTAAATTAAATGTTATGATAACATCATGACATACACAATAATAAATGATCCAGAATCTTATTTTTAAATAAAAAGTCGGAAATTCTCCCCCAAAATCCAAAGAAATATTATTTTTAAAACATCTTACAATCATGTCTTTAACTAAAATGGACGAAGATAACAAAGAATTGGTATGTGATGAAAATGAGAAAAAACATTCAATTTAACATTTTATATATAACAAAATTAATTATGCAGTTGAATGGCATCATGGATGAAATCAGTCCAGGTTCGATAAACATACGTGACTTTTCGCGTGACTTATTAAGCGGTGATAGTGGAATTCCATCCGTTGATGTGTAAGTGTCACAAATATTCAATTCCGAAGATCACGATATGCTTTTAATGTGCATTTTATATCTATAGTCATCAAGATGATAAAGCATGGGTCGCAAAGATCAAATTAGATGGTATTGATAAAGATGATATTGAGGTAGGAAGTTGTACATTCCGAAATTTATATTGCACTTATTTCTAAGGTATGATATTCTAGACTTGATTTTTTTTTTTTGAATTAGGTTGAAGTAAAAGATGATAGTTTAATTGTAAGAGGAGAATACAATGAAACCTCTGAAAATACAACTGACGATGGAACAATTAGGGAAATCAAATCAAGTTCTTTTTCACGTTCCATTTCTATTCCAGAAGGGTTTAATACTAAATCTGTTGATAAAAAATATGATGATATCTATTTAAACGTTACTGTTGAAAAGGAATAATCAAGATTTTGTACTTTTTTGTTTTTTACATATTTTATTTATTAAAGATACTTGAAAAATTTTCAAGAAGACGTGAAATTCGTATAAAGAATATCAAGAATTCTTTCCTTTCCAAAATTTCATATTAATTCTACAGAATTATCTTTCAAGGCATCTCTCATATACGCATATTTATCCATAATAACATCTCCAGGTTCATGTTGTATATCACTAAAAAATTGGAATAAAAAAAAAAAATTGAAAAAATTAAATAACAAGATTCTTTTTTTTTTTAAAAAAAAAAAATGATCACCATAGAATAATAATTAAATTTTTTACGTGTCTTGTGCATCTCGAGGAACTAGATTTTTTAAGACACGACAAAATACAGTTTTCGAAAGATCTGGTTTCTTTTCAAAAGTCTTTATTATACCTGCAAGACAGAAATATAGAATTGAAGACGTCAAGCAAATTTTTAAGTGCAAAATATTATGAAATATTACTGACTATCCTCTAAACAATCATTTGGAAGTTTGAGTTCCGCATTTAAATAATCTTCGAGTAACTTTTTATAACTAAAAATATATATATATATTATTTTCTATTCCTAAAAAAGATATACGCATAACATACAGATATAATGAACTTACTCCTCTGCATGATTTAGTTCAGCTGTGGATAATCTTTCCTTGTAAATGGGAGATGCAAGAATGGTCAAGACTTGAATTTCTATCTGAAATAAAAATTTAAAATAAGATATTAATTTTTGAATGCTTCGAATTATTTGAAAATCAATATCGCGCGTTATGATACCTTATTTCTTCTACAAAGCAAATACTTTTCCATAATATATTTAATTCGGTCAGTACCGCTAAACAAGAGCATACCAAATTGTTTTCGTTCGTGCGTTACCAACATATCTTTTGAAACCGCATCCTATAGAATTTTTTTTTAAAAAAAAGAAAGATTTAAGACAAAAGGAAGAAAAATTATTATTAATACATACTTGTTCTTGGATCAACTTATCCAAATTATCAATGGCTTTATCTTGATACTTTAAAATTTCTGGAGAAAATTCTTCATTGATCAAAGCCCTTTTCAATATTTCATAATCATTTGAAGTTTCAGCATCTTTTATTTGAGATTCTTGATCCTTTTCAACCTCCGTATCACTATCTGACAATTCATCGATATCAAGATCTATGTCTGGTATCTCTCGAGTAGGTCGAATGGGTCGAGTGGGTCGAGATAACCTTGATGATCCTGCATGACCTAATTCATTGAGAGAAAAGATACGAGACATTTTTTCATGTATTTTTTTTTTAGAAATTGAACAAGATTAACCAACTTGCACAGTTTTATTGCTTTATTTTCATTTTATGGTATGGAAAGTTAACGCGTGTAAAATACCTGATAAAGAACGATGGACTGCTTGGGATTGCCAATTACGTACTTTTGAAAAATGTCATATCATATATGAAATTTTCATACCCCGAAGATTAACTTTTCATTTTTTTTAAGGAAAAAAAATTTTAAAGTAAAATAAAATAAAATTTAAATTTAAAATAAACGATTCATTTTTTTGATGAAAGATAAAAACTAAGGGCCGTGACAAAAGATTCTTGTAATCAGGAAATATTAATAGAATTTAATTATAGTAAACTTTTTTAATTATTTAAATGAGTCAATTTTTAGAAATCATTAATAATTTTTAGATTAGATTTTTTTTCAATATTACACTAGATTTTAGATAAAGAGTTAAAATCGGACATTCATAAAGTTTTCTCTCGGTCCTGCAATTCACAAACAAAAATAAAGACGCAAAGCAATCCCTTGAATTTCTTTATGTTTTAAGTTATGTTTGCAATAATTGGGTACACTTATGCATTTAATTTCGCACACAACTAAACTTACGGCGTAAATCATAAATAAATCCACCACATTAACTCATGATTTAAATGTCAAGTTTAGGGTAGATGATGATATTACCGGCGCAAATCATCATTTTTAGTAATGACCGCAGTTATTCGGCGAAGATGTTGACGTGCATTTTTAATTACTTAATAGGTTTTTTTATGATGCAGACTGCAGGGTTATCAAAGGCTTTTATATTGTGGCTTAATGCATAATATTCCCAAATCTTTATGAATGTTATTCTTTTAAAGATTCTTAAAATTCGATGAGTGATCGGATTTCCTTAATAGGAAATCCTATTAGCATGCATTCCTTTATGCCAAACTTGCAAAGTGATGACTGCGAATTTTGAATTGAATATCATGAGATTGTGGCTCAGACATAATTAGATTTTCTTTCTTATGACGCCAAAATGTAAAATATTCTCTTCCCCCTATTAAAGCTTAAGCATTATATCTGTAATATTTGATAATCTTTATTAAAATTTCCAATTAATTCCGCGCGTTGTTTACGTTTTGTTTGGCAATATGAAAACGAATCACGTAGATAGATTTAAATAAATTTTTATATTTGTAACCCATGTGTATAGTCATGAGATCATCACGACTATTGACGTTATGATTAGCGTATGGCTCTGTGGCTCAGACCAGGAGATCGGGCAAAATTCAGCCCTGATAAATTCAATTTATTGATCTTGACCAGAGAATCGATCAAGGATTTCCTACAATAAATAACAAGAGCGATTTTTTTTTTTTTTTTGGAGATCTTGAATAATACCTAAATTTGACATTTCGTGTCCAATTATTATTTTAGAACCGAGTTGAACCGAGTTGAAATTTATGATGATACATACTTATTATAAACAGTTAACTGATTGTTTTAAGCTCTCATGATTTTTTAAACTTTGCTGATCGATAAAAAAGGGTTTAAAAAGAAAAAACAATCGTTGTGATAATAAGATTAAAATTCCCCAAAAAATAATTTTTTTTACTCGGAAAATACCGTGTTGGCAATAACGTCTTTTTTTCTCGATTAATAATAAACAAAGTAAAAAAATTCGAATAGAGGCGTACATACAACAGTTGACTGCAAGAAGAATGCTTATCTCGTTAAGACCTTAGTCAAAGTAATAATAATGAATGTGGTACTATACATTATACGAAATCAATCCAGTAAAACTTTACTATTGTTGTACGAATGTAGACAGATTCTATTCAACCACGAACCATTGTTTTTTCTTTTTAAAAAATAATGTTGCTTCTTTTGAAACTTTTTCAGCCTTAAACTCATTTTAGGTCAAGAATACTCTCCTTTTGAACTGTATATTTCAACTTTACGAAAAGATAATCCTAATTAGGTGTTGAAATACTAATTCTTTTCTGAACTTGACGATGCGATTTTCATGTGTAAAGCAATCACAATATTAATAATAAAAAAGGAATGTGACAAAAATTCCTTTTCAATTGTTTATCTCCCTAAAGACGCGAAACAACACGTGAAGTGAATTAGAAGTTTGTATTACGTAGAGATTTGGTAATCAGAGCCAATTACATGAGTATATGTTAATTAACGATAACGTTGGGAAACATTTCTTGGATAAGGTAATACCATGCATATTTCCTTTGAATTCCGTTTTTGGTTCACGTGAAATTTACCAAAATGTTAATGAGTTGTAGATCCAGTATATCTAATACCGAAAGTTTTCTTTGTTAATTTCTAGAATATATTTTTATTTTTTTTTTTGTATATGCAAGTTATCGGATGTTTTAATTAATTGGCATCGGAATAATGTTTCCAAGTTGATCAACGATGAATGAAAATCAATCACATTAATGAAAAATTAAAATGAAAATTAAAAACGATATATTGGTGCCTCATTGAGAGCATTCTTTTTAAGAAAAACAAAATAAGAAACCTGATTTTTTTTTTCGGGGTTATTTTATATCAACGTTTGCCAAAAATGGTATTAATCTTGTGAGGGAGTCGCTTCCCCAAAGCTGATTGACACAAAATTTCTAAAACACGACATATTATTCACCTTTAATGTACTAGTCTTACTAAAAAGTTTTTTTTTTAGAAAACGCGTTCCAAATATTTGACTGGACAACGTTTTATTTACTTTACGCCAAGAAATACATTGATGCGTATGAAACGAGGATTTCTGTAATTATTTATACGATTTATTAAGCCTAGCGTTTTTCAACTTTTATCTCGATAAGGAATTGAATACACCAGAGATTACAATAAGTCAGAATAAACTAATTAAATAGAGATAAATCACAACATAATTCGAAGACTAATAGCATACAGTCAACCACTTTTAAATGAAGTGAATAAATAACACGTTGTTTTCCCACACCTTTCCAATTATGATCTATTTGATTCACGATCCAATGATGATTGCATTATCCCTTACGTTATATGCTAGATGGTAGCATTTATTATTTGTAACATAACTTGATAAATTCATATTTCTTTATATATCAACGTATCCATATGTGGATTAATTTTAGATTTATTTGGTTATTGCCTAATATTAAAGAAAAAGGTGTGAATTATTCAAAAGATAGCGGCGAACAGCGAAAAAAATGCTTTGTCTTTCTATTTTTTATATTCGCAACACTGGGTGTTACGGGTGAAATGACATCACCGCATATAAATTAAGTAACGTATAAATGACCAAATATATAATATATTAGATGTTGCTCAAAACAAAAATGGGTAGATATGTAGATTTGCATGTAATATAAGGCACGGCACAAATATTTGCCATTGTTACAATAACATTCAGCATATTCGATTATCGTGCATGTTTTTTTGTATTAAAACAATCATTACATTTCTCAAACTGAAAAATTTTGATTATCTTAGTACTTAAAGCCTTACTATATGGCATATAATTACAATTATGGTTAACCTCACATCACATTTCATTAGTTTGGGAATTCTATTTCCCTCAGTTTGTTATTTATTTATTTTAATTTAATTTTTTTTTGGACGCAATTTATCTTGTAAATCTGGATCGACATATGATCACTTTTGTTACTATTTTTTTTTAAAAAAAAAAATTTGTTGAACGTAAATATGAAGATGAAATAAAATCGTAT